TTTTTTGTGCTATTTGTGTAAATATCTCAAAATTTAAGCCAAATCGAACATATCTCAAGTGGTTAAGACACCAAAAGATCATGAGTTCGAACCCTCACCCCACACGTTGTACTAAAAAAAATATCTCAAAATTTAAAAATCATTCTAGAGATCATGTTTTTAACAAAATTAGTCATAAATGTAAAATTCAACCAAACAAAGTTGTAGTGATAAATACCTTACGTGTCTATGTAGTATACATTTATATAGGTAAATATCTTACATGTCTATGTTGCATATCTACATAAAGTAAATTATTACAGATTTTAAGTACAACGACCAAAGAGTAGTCTAAAAACTCTAAATAAAAAAGCACACAGTCTCGACCCAACGGTAATTATACTTTCCCATGCTATGCCTATTTTAAGAAAATCATCCTTCTTGAAAATTTCTGAAACTATCCTTTTCATGAATCCGTGCACGATCGCAGGTAACGAACAGTTTAATGAAACACCATTTTCGGTGTAGTTCCCAAGTGGTCGAGGAAATCTTGAAACCTGGGTCTTCTGCTTGTCACCACCTCCGTCCCGACCTCAGGTACAAAAGTAATTTCGGTCGAACCGACCTCTGTTCCTATATACACTGCCACCTCCGTTAAGCTCGAAGTCACCAGGTTCTCAGGAGTAATTTGAGTCTCTACATTGGGAGCTACAGCAAGAGTAAGCCACCTCCGTCCCCACAACCTCAAGGATGTCGGGATTAACCTCCATCCCCTTAAGTAGGTTGGGAGGGACTGCAGCCTCATTGGGAGCAACAGACGTGTCACCAGTGATAACCTCGTTCTCACCAGCGACCACATCCCAAGATCTTCCACTACCACCTCGGGAGCACCTGTTGTCTCAGCCTCATCATTGGGCTGGGCTGATACTTGAGACCCGTAAGGCTTGGGCCTGGGCCAAGTTTGGGCTATTACTTCTTTGGGCTGGGCTGCGTCGGCCCAACCCAAAGAAGTAATGGCCCAAACTTGGTCCAGGCCCAAGCCCTACGGGTCTCAAGTATTGTTTGGGCCGGGCTTGGGCCGGCCCAACCACTCAAACCTAGGCTCATAGTCCAATCCATGAGCCTAAGTTGATGAGCCAAAGTTGGATCGGGCTTGGATCAGCCCTTTGGATCGGCCCGTATATTAATATATTTTTAATTATTAAATTTTAAAATTTAAATAATTTCCATGTTAAGCTTTTTATTTTTAAATTCTAGAATATGTGTTTTTATATAATTTTTGGTACATTTTTTTTATTTTTATAATCTTACTAATAAATTTTATTATGTCATATTTTATAAATTTAAGTTGTTTATTTTAAAAAATTATATTTTTTATTTTTAAAAATTAAATTTATATCTTTTTACAGGAGAAATTGAAAATTTAAACACTCTAAACTGGAACTTGAGAGGATTTACGATTAAGAATTAGAATTAGAATTTGAGTAAAGAAAAAGAAAAGAAGGTTGATATTTATAAGAAAATTTTGTATTAAAAATTTTTAAAAATTACAACCTAAATATTAGATATGTTTAAAATAATTTTAAATTTTGAATTTAAGAATTTAGATTGTTTCCTCGTAATATGTTTCAAAACAATTATTTAAATGAAATATTAGGAAGTGGTAGTATGGGAGGGGAAACAAAAATCATTAACCTACCATATCTAATTTATTTTTTATAATAAATAAATAATAAAAGAATATATTAATATTATATAATATAAATATTAATAAATATTGGATCGGGCTTTTGGGCCGGCCCGACTGGCCAATCCAAATACGGCTCAAACGGGTTGGCCCACGAGCCGGCCCAAATTAAAAAATGAATATCCATATCCAATCCAATTAATATAAGGGTCTGGCCGGTCAAACGTTGACCTTGGATCGAACTTGGATCGGGCTTAGGCTGGACCTGGACCGCCCTTTAGGCCTCGGACCCGATGATGAGACTGACAGTGCTGTCTCAGAACCAACTACGGGGTCTCAACAATATCTCGGACAGAGGAGCCACCACCACCTCACCAGCAGCGGGCTCCATCTCTGCTAAAAAGCCATATAAAAGTATAAATTTAATGGCAATGGGCAGCCAATGTTGATTTCAATCAACTATGCTAAAAGAATCAATGAGTATATATCAACATAATCATTTATCTACTAATGATATAAAAGAATCAAAAAATGATGTTAAAATAATTATCTCCTAAGATTTTCGACCATCTAAAAGTAATCTCCAAAAAACTAACTCCAAGTAATATAACATCAGAATGGGAAACAAATGTTGATTTCAATCAACTATGCTAAAAGAACCAATTATCTCCTAATGATATAAAAGAATCAAAGAATGATGTTAAAATAATTACCTCCTAAGATCTTCAACCATCTAAAAGTAATCTCCAAAAAACTTCTCCAAAAAACTATCTCCAATGATAAGAGGAGTAATATAACATCAGAATGGGAAACAAATGTTGATTTCAATCAACCAGGCTCAAAATCCAAAACGACTTGCAGTAAACCCTAATTCAAGGGTTTTGTGATTGAAATCAGAGAATAGTAGAGAGATTACCAGAGGAGCCATATCATTCTGAAGATCAGGAGCCACCGTGGTCTCAGGCGGCACCTCGGTCGTCTGCGGCACCGGCACTTTGTCGTCGTTCCCACCTTCCATTGCAAGCTATCTTGAATATGGTTGCAGAGCAGAGGGGAGTCTATTTTCATTACAGACGTCAATAACCGCCTCTCTTGTCTTCTTTCATCTTTTTCTTCAAATGCCCAAACTACCCTTCTAAACAAACCAGAATCCTTAATTCAATTCATGCATGTGCAATTAAAATAGATCCTTTTAAATTTAAAGACGTAATAATAAATAAATAAGTACTCCCGCCAACTATTAATTTTTTTTCAACTCTTTTTGTTTTTATTTATTATTTTAATTGTATTTTTTTTAATACAGCTGCTACTTTTTTTATTTTATTATTGTTCATAATTATTTTATTTGATTTAAAATTGAACATATATATATATACATGGAAAATAGTACTTCTAAACTTTCAATTATGAAAATTAAACTATGTGAAGAAAATTTTTTTTATCTCTAACTTTAAATAGTAAAAATTAATGTCTTAGAACTTTCATAACCCTAAATTTTCAATTTCAAACATTGATTACACGCTTTTCCATAATATCGTACCAACAAAAATTGGGTACATTAACTTTTTTTTTTTTTTATCTTGTCTGTTGTGTCAAAGCAACCAATTGTATTCTATTGGTCTATTTTACAATTTTTATTATTAATCAAAACCATAAAATAATGGGATATATATGTTTTCGTGAGAATGTATTCTTTATGATGGATGAAATATGGAGAGAGTAAAATTGATCCCATTTTTTGAAGTTTTAGGATTTAGTTTTTATAATTAAAAGTGTTGCAATTTTCTCAATTTAAGGTTTTCATTTTTAAGTTTAGAAATCTAATTTCTCTCTTTTTCTTTTTTGGTCAATGTTTGAGGATTTAATTTTCATAATTAAAAATTAAAAAATGTCAGGTTTGTGTCATAAACCAAATCACATGGCATTATATATTTATATATATTAATTATATGTAATTGATAATTCTATATTTATAGGTATTGAGCAACGCAAAGTAGAGTCATCATTTCTGAAGCGACCAGTAACAGGGCAGACCGCCATCTTCTCTCATCTTATTATTTTTTTTGTTGTATTATTTTTTATTTATTCAAACCACCCATCTTATAATTAGAAATAAATGTCACATACTAAGTTGACGAGTATGTTTATAAATTGCCTTCGTTTTTCAAATGTGGGCCACGACAAAAGAACCGACATTGTCTTCACTTATTCCCCATTCAGTGTTCATTAGGAAGAAAACCAATTTTGAGATTTACTTTTGAAATTAAGCTGATCAGTATAACATAAAAATAAATATATATCACAATCTCATAGGTTTCAACTAAAATTATTTTCCTTTAAAGCCTCACTAATTTTATATTTTGTCTCTATTTTGTAATTCATTGAACGCATATGAAATGTGTTAGATAATAAGTCTTCAAATAAAAGTCTAACAGAAAAATAAAAAGTAAAATTTTGGTGAAAGATTAAAGGTAAAAGCTGCATATCTAACCCAAAGATTTAATTGGATGAAATTGAAAAAATTAGGTAAATATTGATTCTCTTTAACAAGTCTAATTTTATATACTTTAAAATCTTTCCAAAGATATAATTTCGGTGAGTTGAATTATCTTGATTATGTCACTAAATTTCTTAAAATATAGCCATAAATTTGTATTAAGTAGTTTTCCATTGTGTATAAATTGTCTTAAAAATTTACAAATAAGATAAAATTGCCACTTTAAAGAACATGAACTAGAATAGATAAAGTTTTGAAAATACACAACACAAATATATATATTTAAAGTACAAGAACTAAACCAAAGCCGAAGTCGAAAATATAACAAAAATAGTATTTAAACCTAAAGCAAAATGTGAAAGCAACAAAATACCGTTAGTTCATGTTATTTTTAAAACTTAGAATTCAATTATTGGCAAATTTATGATGAATTATTTTTGAACCAATTCAACAGTCATTGAGGCCTCTTGAAGGACTTGAACCTCCATGAGATTTTGAGTCTCCGTTTAAGGAAAATATGACAAAGATGAAACGTCATATATGGATCCAACATCCAAGGTGTCGCATTTCGTTGCAAACCAGACTCTCTGGCCAATGCCAAAGTCGCCCAATACTCATTTATTGAGTGAATTGGCAATTACAAATGAGTTCTATGGCTTCTTACCACATAAAATGGCAATTATGTGAACTATTTCAAATTTTACACTCCATATCTATTTTCGTAACATTAACCAAAACATAAAATGAAATAACTATGCTTTTTAAAAATTAAAAAATATATTAAAAAAAATTATCAAACGACATAAAACCACCATTTTTTTAAAATGGTTTAAAAAAAAAAACATGTATACGTAGTACTAATACCGAAACCAAACACGGTCCACCTATAACGAATTTAAAGTGTTAATTTCATCCATTTCAAAACTTCGTGAAAATTTAGTCATTGAGCAAATGACATAAATAGATTAGTGGAAAAAAAAAAAGGCAACTCATAAATTTGGAAATTTTTTTTATCTAAGGTCGAAAATAGCAATATTTCGATGGGTTAATTATAAACTCAATACCTTTATTGGAGCTTAATTCCAAAATTTGTGCCCGCTTGTGTCCAATACTTATTACTTCCAGTTCCTTTGCTTACCTGGAAAATTAGAAATTTCAAAGGAAAAAAATATATATACTAAACGATATTAATGATGTTATATTGAAATTTTTCAATAAAAAACGAATTCTACCGAACTCAATATTTCTATATTCTATTTTTAATAAATTCATTACCAAACATAGTTTTCAAATTAAAAAAATATATATATATTCAATTAGGAACAAATCTTATTTTTTAAATATAAATAAATTGTTTTTAACTTTAAATTTTTTCATAAAACCAATTTTTGGATCGAAAAAGTAATTAACGAAGCACGGTTGACTTAGAATATAGATGGAAGAATACTAACAAATAAAACCTATTAGATTAGGAGGAAACGTAGTTGTTTTTTACGAAAAAAAATAATTTATTGTAAGCACATAATTAGCAAATTCGGGATAATAAATGATGAACTTGATCAATGATAGATATATATACATATAAAGAAAATATTAGGGGAATGGAGTTTGAACCTGCGTCGACAAGCCAGTCCTGCCCCTGCCTTCATCCAACATTTCCAGTTTCTTTCCTTACCTAGCAAATCAAATATTTATATATTTTTTTTAAAAATGCAACAATTCTGAATAATGTAAATAATAATTTGCCTTTCCAATTCGAAATTCCCTCTCCATTTTTTTTTTAAATTTCGCCAAAAAAATATAAAATGCAAAGTTGAAAATATAGGGAAAAAAAAGGGTGGCACACGCCTTTTCTTTTACTGCTGATTCTAATTTCTTAGAAAGAAAAAAAGGCACAAAACCAAATGATGGTTATTAGGCAAGAAAATAGAAAAAAGATACCAAGTTTGTTTGACATGAGTTTTCACCCTCATATGGCAGCCAAGGCATGGAGACAATCGTTCTACAAAATTTATCAAGGCAACAAGAAATCAATCAATCAATAATTTGCACATAGATGAATAATACCATGCCTATGTAAAATCAGAAATAAAAACAAAAAGTTAAAATATGTGACCAATAAAGAAAAGTGAAAAGAAAAGAAAGCGACAATGTAGTTCAAACCTTTATTTCCAATCTGCTCACCACATCTTGTCATCTAATAACTGAAAACAAAAAAGTCTTGAATAAAAAATAGTCTTTAACCATCTCGCATCTTTTCGTCTAGCCTCTGTCTTGACGTGTAGTTTCTTATACATGTTTTGGGTCTTGACATCACAATAGCCTCTGTCTTGACGTGTAGTTTCTTATACATGTTTTGGGTCTTGACATCACAATAGTACATTCGTAACGTTTTTCAATATAAGGAAATGATAAGGCAGAAAACATCACAAACCCACAAACAAATAGAACCAACAGATAGAAATTGGCATACATTAAAACTCACATGCTATGAGAATAAAAACTAACATCATTACCCTTAGATACCATAATATAGATATGTCATAAATATCTAGGCCAATTATGATTAAAAAACATCTTAAAAGACATCTCCAAATACAATTGTTAGATAAAGCACATGTAATCCAAAAAAAAAAAAAAGATATAGCACACATAAAATAAAATAAAAGGATGAATCGGAAAATACAAAAAACACAAGCCAAAGCAACTACGAGAGCGACAAAAAGAATCACAGAAAGGGTACTAATTATTGAAAACCTTCAAATTTGCACTAGTTTATGATGCTTGGTGCTAGCTGCAAGTATCTCAAGTGAGTGAACAACCTGATGATAGGTATACTAAAAAAAATGAGCACATGTGGGTTCAATCAACAGCAAATTAAGAAATTAAATCAGCAAATACCAATTGGAATTGGAAATACAAAGTCTGAGTTTGCAAGGAAATGAAAGAAATCAATGGTAGCATTAAAAGCTGAAAGCAAATGAAGAGTTCAAATTCAAATGTTAAGGATCCTCAGGGCCCCAAGCAATCAGTAATGAATAGTTGAAAAAGAAAGAAGAAACAGAGAAGATGCAGAAGAAATGTTGCATTGCACGAGATGTTTGTCAGCTGTAAAGGAACAAAGCATGAGGTTCATATCTACCCTAGCTAGCCTACAGAGATCTTATACTGTTATTAAATAACACTAAAAATTTAGACACAGAATCTAATTGATGCCACGAACAACTAATTATCTGAAACTACTTGGCTAGAACATAACATATTACATACGACATGAAGCAACAAGCAACAGACTCCAAGACAATTAGCCCTAACTTCCTTCAAAACAACATCCTCTCCCGTACAAGAAGCCACAAAAACAAAAACTAAATAAAATTGTTTAAATTCCCTCCAGAGAGAAGAAATTGGACTTACTCAAGCACTCGATCATTACAGCCAGATGGAACATCGAGGATCCCCGACCCCGAGGATTCGGTTCTCTGTCTCATGGAGACGGAATCAATACCTAGCGCATCAGGAGACAGCCCACAAGAAACAAAAAGTTAGAAATAAAAACGACTTGCCGTAAACCCTAATTCCAGGGTTTGGCGACTGAAATCAGAGAATAGTAGAGAGATACCAGAGGAGGCGTCATTCTGAAGATCTCGAGATAATGTTCTTTGATGGGAGGAGTTGACTGCGGAGGAAAGGCAGGTTGGACGGACTTCGAGTACGCCATATCCGAAAAGAAATAGAAAATCTTAAATTGATGAACAGAGAAGGATAAAATCGAAAACGGTGAAGGATCGAAAAAGCGAAAAGGTAAAAAGAAAAAAAAAAAACAAGTTTATCAGCCATAAACCATAATCTAGGGTTCGCATATCAAAACAAGAGAACAGCGCAAAGAGAGAAACAGGTGAAAGCATACCGGAGGCGGAGAAGGCGAGTACGAAGCAGCGGCGAACGCTTTCTACCGCGGGCTCAGGCAGCACCGCCACCGCGCCAGCAACTGCCTCCTCCGTCGTCTCCGGCGACGGCACTTTGTCGTCGTTCCCACGTTCCACAAGCTGTCTTGAATATGGTTGCAGAGCAGAGCAGGACACAGAGGAGTCTATTTTCATTGCAGACGTCAATAACGGCCTTTCTTGTCTTCTTTCATCTTTTTCTTCAATGCCCAAACTACCCTTCTAGACAAACCATCTCAAAACTGGAATCCTTAATCTAATTCATGCGTATGCAATTAAAATGGAACCTTTTAAATTTAAAGACGTAATAATAAATAAATAAGTCCTCCCGCCAATTATTAAATTTGTTTCAACTCTTTTTGTTACTATTTATTATTTTAATTGTATTTGTTTTGATACAGCAACTACTTTTTTATTTATTATTATTCGATAATTATTTCATTTGATTTAAAATTGTGCATATATATATATATATATATATATATCAAAAATAGTACTTATAGTACTTCTAAACTTTTAAAATGAAACTAGGTCAAGAAAATTTTTTTACCTCTAAACTTTAAATAGTAAAAATTAATGTCTTACTTCAAAGAATATTTAGAACCATTTTCTAAAGGTCAAGGATCCATTACTTTTTGAAACTTTTGGACCAAATAGACATTTATCATCAAATTCAGTCATCAAAGTGTATTTTAGTCATAATTAAAAGTGGTAATTATTATATTAGTTTACAAAATAAAATTTTATTAATCTCGATTTTTAATATAATCTATTAGAATTATTTGTAATTACTGAAAAATAAATAGTAGGTATTAAAATCTCTAACTACTTGCCTGATTTATTGATAATATATGTGTCTTACATTATTTAACCAGATGGGAAAAAAAAAGTGAGAATAAAATTGACATAGAGATTAAGTTTAAAATTTAAGATAATCAAACATTACTTAATACTAAAAGGAAGAAAAATGGCTTGACCTAGAAGTGGGGTTAGGAGTTTAGAAATCAATCATAAATTTATTTTGTCAATTTCCCCGATCACCTCAGTTTGTAATAAAATATCAAATCGAATATGCGGTTTGGTTGGTCTAAAGTTGTTACTTTAGAAACCTATAGACGGATGAATATGCTTCACAGCAACGACAAAGGACCTGTTGCTATGGACAATGGCAGACGGATAGACCTGCTTTACAATAACGACGAAGGACTTGTTGCTACGTACGACAAGTAGGAGACAACGACCACCTTAAATGATGTAAATCCTCATTGATGCTCTAATTTCTTTTGTTATACTTTTGCTGGTTGTACTACAAAAAGTTATTTAATATACAATTGGAAGTTTAAAAATGAATGAGCACAAATCTCAATTTAGAAAATAATGTGAAATATAACCTAAAATTTATTTACAGATTAAATAATAAAATATTATATATTTAATATTGCTAAAAGTAAATTATGATAAACTTACAGCAATATTTGGAATTTTAATTTTAAATTTTTCCACAAAATGGTACAAATCTTGCATATTCGAGAGTGGCAAGGGAAGAAACGTCCGTGTCTGTCACTGACTCTTCACAGACATCACCATTCTCAGTATTCCATTTCTCATCCCAAATCCCCAAATCACTGTAAGAAAAAATGAAATAAAATAAAAAAATCTCCATGTCTCTCCAATCTGTGGATATGTCTACATATATATGTTTTCATACATTCTACATCTAACATGAAAAGTAAATTTATATTAAGAATTTTAAACTAATTATATGAAATATTTTTTTAAAAAAATTGACATACTTACAAGGTTTTAGAAGTTGTTGTCGATCGAAGTGTCAATTTCTCAATTTCATGAAAATGCCAAGATTTCAATTTCATAGTAATATAGATGGAAGTATGGACAAAATGTCAGTGTCAATCGATATTTCTAAAAGAGTTATAAAAATAAAAAAAAAACCGTAAAACTGTTTAAATTAATAAATAAACATTTCATCTGAATAAGTTACAAATTGTTCTCAATATTAATACTATGTATATATTAGTTATATTTTTCATATTTTATTTTATTTTATTTCGCAATACTAGTCAATCATGTGAAATTCATTAAAATGTTAATAGAAATATCTATGAAATTTAATGCCGGGCATATTTGCTGAATTACAAATTACATTTAAAAAAAAAGGAAAAGAAACAAGAAAAAATGACAAACATATAAGGCTTAAACCAAAGAATTGGGAGAGATAATACTATTAGCCACTAAACTAACATATAGGATTAGATTGCTATAAAAATGTAAAAAGATGAGTTTAACTCAATCATAATTAGTACTATTTTCTATTAACAGAGAATAGAATAATCTAGAATTAGACACAGTGTCAAGTTGGAAATTTCACTCTTTTAAGAACATATATTTGACGTCATCAAACAAATCATCTCTTCACTTAAATTTTTGCTTTCTCTTTTTTTTCATTTAAATATTCTCATATATTCACTTTCTCTCCCGTTCTCTCCCTTCACATTTTCATCTTCTCCTAATTTCTCCCTCATCTATCTTCCTAATCTTTTCTCTTCTCCCTTCTCAGATTTTTCTTCTTCTCCTCGTACAACATAGCAAAATCGAAGTTTCATTATTTTAACTTTCCTTCCCTTCCTCTTCAAATTTTCCCAAAATTAAAATATAGATTTTCTAGATTTCTCCTTACTTTCCTTCCCTCTTTCAATCTTTTTTGCATGAATAAACTAAAATTTTTTCGATTATGTACATGTAGAACTTCATTTTTTTACTTGAGAAATTCAACTGATTGTGAGAGAACTGCAACTTGGTTGCGGGTCAAAGAAGAGGAGAGAGAGAAGTGCAGCTTGGTTGTGGGTCAAAGCAAGATTGGAGAGAAGAGAGAGAATGAACCACAGTTTTTTAATTCTCGTATCGACTAATTCAAATTTTAATTGATTTGAAACACCATTGATATTTGGTTTTTTTAAAATCATTTATTGGAAAATTTTTCTAACTGAACCGAATCTACCATTAAAATAAAATTAGAGGGAGAGAATAAATAAATTGTAGAGATTGTTTGAGCCCGAAATTGATGAGCTCGGATACAATTTAGATCGGTACGCTCACGACGAACTATGGCCAATGGTCCCACACCTTCTCTGAACACTTCTTGAGACCTGCAAAACAAAGTTAGCACTCCGACGAGCAAGTTAGTTCTAGTCCGAGCTAACCTGCCGAGTCTACTTAGGATTGCGCATTTAAGGTAAAGGTTTCTATTTATAGAAACTGGGCCCGACAGGGGTTCTGACACCCCCTAAAATCGCGGCGTGTTGTCGGGTACGGAAGGGACACTGTTACGGACTTTGTATCAGCTCGGCTCGGCACTATAGGTCCTACCCTGATTGCCGACCTGAGCATTTTGGAGCCGCTTTCTCCACTTCGCCCGCGTGTTTGACCAACTCACCTTTTCGATCATGACACGTGGCAGGCCAGGATTCGCCTCCAACATTGGCCCCCACTTCAGCGGGGCGGAGGTCGGCTGGGCGAAGTCCTCCGAGCTAACTAGAGACGGGTCGAATCCACGCGTGCATGTGTGACGTCATGGATGTCGTCAGCCCTAGCTTCTGCTTCGGGAACCCAAACGTCGTTGTGGGGACAGCCTGGCGTGGGCGGATCTTGTCCGTTGATCCCTCCTTGATCAAACGGCTCTTGTGCCTCCGGGCTGTCCTATAAAAGGCGAAAGTCTTTCACTTTTCACTTTTGAGTTTTCGTGTACCTCGGTCGTTTCCAAGTCAGGTACTCTCTCCCTCTTTCTTTAGATAGTTCTTTTAAGTCCTCCCAGTCAGGTCTGGCGATGAGTAGCTCGTCAAGGGATTCGTCGTCTGGGTCGTCTAGTTCCTCTAGTTCAGACGACGTTTTAGGAGATCCAATCTTAGCTCCTACCTCAAGGAACCCCTACGTCGAGGATAGCTCGACAAACCCCAACATAGCCTCAACCTCGGGAAACCCTGACCTCGGTCCTGTAGTTGAACTTTCTCCTTCATCTTGCTCGGTAGGTAGGTTGGCCGAGCTCCGCAAAACTTACTCGATCCCCAACTCCATAGAGCTTAGGGTGCCTAACATCG